TTACCCTCGGGAGATTGCATTAACTGAAAATCCAAGTTCGAAGTGTGCAAGTTCACTTTTTGTTTGTTTGCCCCTGCCTCTTGAACTACAAGGAAGTATTGATAGATAGTGTAGTGAAAAAGCAACATATAGTCAAATGGTAGCTTTCTGCAATACCTGCTTCATCCAATGTCGACCAGTCGCTGGGTCGACCTGTCGCAGGACACAGGAATTGAGTACAGCGTGACGCCTGGAATCTCAGTCCGTGAAGGCCACGGTAGACGGCGAGGCCACGGTAGTGGCCGGAATCGGCAGCTGGATGAACAACAAATGCGGATCAGATCCTAAAGCTTAGAAGCATCAAACATATTCATCAAAGAGTCATCCAGGAGTAGATAGGATGCGCGGATTCCGCCCAGAAAGTACCTGAACTGGCTTGTCACGTTTTCGGATTGATTCATATTCTATTTACTTCAGGACTTCCTTTTTAATCTTTTTATGCCTGGGCAACCCCTTGGCAACTCATTGGAGCCCACAATCATCCAAGACGACATTTCTTGCCAGCTGCATTTGCAGCTGATTTCGGCTCGTGGCGAATTGACCACTTCAACTGCTGTTTACGTCCCGATTCCTGCGGTCCTGTTCGGGTCCAACAGGGATTGTCCAGGTGCTTTCGTTGGACTCCACCATGCACCGGCACCCACCCCTCAACAAATGGCTTCAGCTCGGCTGGGTTCTCTCTTCACCTACCCACGCGGTGTGTGAAGAGCGCTCGCTGAGGCCCGTGTTGCTGCGGCACCTGGGGAGTGGCTACTACTTAGCCATTTCGGAATCCGATATGGAGGACCGAGTTGTAGGATGAAACATCCGACAGAATGTCCACATCGGCCATGTTAGGCCATGTAATGCCCTTGGTCATGGAAATGGTTTGCTCAGCTTGCCCCTTGATTGTTGACACTGAAGCTATCCATCCGGAAGAAGGAAGAAGGAAGAAGAACAGTATTAATAATAAGCAGGAGAAGAAGAAGGTTAATAGGAAAGAGACAAAACAGAAGAATAAGAAAAATAAGATGACAATGATAAAATCAATTGAACAAAAGGTCCAAAGAAGAAAGGTCTTAGAAAAGATTGTTACTTCGAGTCATCCCCACCTTTACATGTCAATCATTTGTCTTCATGCCATGGTGATGAGCATGATGGAGCATGTTGCCATAGTCGTGAGTTTTGTGCTTCTCGATTTTGCTTGTGGGTGTGCTGTGGTTGTATGGTGTGGATGTGTCTTTCTGGTTGTGTGTCGTGGTTGTGTTTGTGATTGTGTGTTTGTGGATGTGGTTGTGCTTGTGTTTGTGCTTGTGTGTTCGTGATTGTGTTTGTGGTTGTGTGTTGGTTGAGTGCCGGCAGCGCCGAGTGCGATAGGGAGCTGGCGTTTGAGGTCCGGCTGGGGACACTGCTAGCCGACGCTCGCGGTTGAGGTCCGGCGGGGAACACTGCCAAGCGGAACTCGCGGTTGAGGTCCGGCGGGGAACGCTGCCAAGCGGAACTCGCGGCTGAGGTGCGGTGGGAAAAACTGCCAGAAGAAGAAGACACAAAGGCATTTGGTCATTGTGTTTCGAATAGACGCGTGTTCGCCGATGTGTGGTGGCCAGAGGACAAGAAAATCCACTACAACAAGGAGAGCGGTGGCATTCGCATCAGAGATGTGCGCCGTGCTGCTGAAAACTTGAAACCACCTAAGACACATTGAGACGGTAGGTGTGGAGGCTCCTCGCTGAGCCAGGCCTGTTGGGTGACCCGCATAAGTCAATGAAAGCTATCTTTTGCCCTTCCATCACCCCAGATGTTCCTGGGCTTGGTAGTCCAACTAGGAGAGTCCTATGCCGCATAGACATGCAATTATGCATACAATATATTGGGGGAAGCGGGTCGCCATTGGCCATGTGCTTCATCAAGCCCATTTCGCTGCTGTCTCAACTGCCCCATCGACACCTCAAGACGTCTTTGGAGTTGCCCGGCGTTGCCCGGTGCCATGGCGGCGCGATTCCCGGGAACGTGGCTTTGTCCCTTGGTTTGGTTGAAGTCGCCATGGGACACTGAGATGCCAACGCTGTTTTGCCAAGACCATGCCACAGTCTTGAGAAAGAAAACATAAGAAAACCGTCCCCATTTGGATGCACGCACTTGCGGTCTGTTCGCGTCCACACACCCCCTTAAAGGACGGAGAGGTGAACAACAGACCGAACCACTATGTACAACAAACACGTGAAACCAAAGTGCTACGAACAGGCAAAGAGCCCGGAAACACTACAAAAACCAAGGTAAACAGGGAACAACTTGTTTATAACTCGATCAGTGCGAGTAAATTTGTAATTAAGAACAATCCTGGCGACTAATTCGTGGAACATTCGGATATCTAATTGAGTCGAAACTCTTCTTTCAAAACAACATGTAGCGGACATGTTTTTTAGAAATGTGCGAAACCTCGGGCCACTCAGGATTGAAACACATCTTTATGTGGGAGTCAAAAGTCTACATTACCAAAACACCTCATCCCAACAAACTAAAGTTTCCAGGCTTCCAGGACTCAGACTTTTTTTCCGGCCTGACATCTTGAATCAGGCAAAAAAACATGGTCCACTGTGTTTTGTCGTGCAGTCACACAAGCTTGGAACTCTGTCCCCACCAAGGTTTCAGCACTTGGCTGTTTCTGGGTGTTGCTGATAAGAAAGCTGCAGAGGAACTACCGGAGATGCTGGCGAAGATTCGCTCCGGTGAATTTGACAACAACTTCTTTGATGGCGATTGCCTCGTGAAGACGCCAACCAATGAGAAGCTAAGATGGCCAAGTCATTACTGTCATGTAATGTTGACTGTTTATGAAATCAGTACAAACCTCCCATATGAAGATGTAGAACCATCTTGGTGGGGCGCCTTACTAGTCAACAGTCAACATTAATTTTTTGATCATTGACTTGTAACACAAAATGGCCCCTGAGACAAGGAGCGTGGTCTCCAGAAACCATCATGTCCATGTCTATTTGAATGACCTTTGTTTTCGTTCAGTAACATGCACATCTATTAGTGGATTCTGTTTTCTTAGACCTTGAAGCACGTTATGTATATACACATGTATTATGGGGGTGAGGTCTTGAGCTAACGTGTATCAGTATATAACCGTTCCATTTCTTTGAAGCCTTTGGATGGTCTTGTCCCGCTGCAGGAAAGAAGCTGCCGCAGGGTGAGACTTGGCCGGTGGGCTTTCGACTACTCGAGACCAGTGGGTCCGAGTGAAAGTGGGTCAGACTCGAACAGTCAAAATAAGTAGCAACCCGCTATACCCTTTGCCTTTGCGCCTTTAGGTTGCTCCACCCACCCAGCATAACTTTTGAATGTCGATGATTACCAGGTGGTTGAGCATTCATTTGTTCACCACCCAACATCATTTGGTGGTGTCTAGAGTCTATATGTGTCTATAGCCTGCATGGTAAATAAAACAAACAGGTGTCTCAACGTGGCCCGAGGGCGGAGGTTTCCGGCATTCACAAGACCAAATTCAGCAAGGAAAAACACTTGTTTGCAAACAAGTGCCTTTACATGGGCGCAGGTAAGGACATTTAATTTATCAAGCGAGAGAGAGCGAGAGAGGGAGGGGGGCTTTTTCGGATTGTTGTGTTGAACTACGGCATATTGTCATATTGGGGCAAAAGTTCCAATACGTTGAACACCACCAAATCCTTGCCATCACACTCAGCGCAAACACAAGGCATTCTGGACAAGGTTGGTGCGATAGTCATGGAACAAGGACTCGGGTTTCAATAATCGAGACAGACTGTTCGTTGTTCCAAGCACCAGGCACAAGCAGGCCAGCTCAGTGGAGATGTTTCTTTGCTTTGAAATCTACTTTCCACACTGAGAAGATCGGAGAAGTAACAGCAACAGGACTATGATTCTTTCATTGTGAATTGTTAATGTTGATGTTCTATTTCGATGCACATACACAAACAGTCATCAGCAGTTTCCTTTCATCGTGGGCTGACTTCGTGAGGAGTTCAAGACTTCGTGAATGACTTGCAGGTTGACTTGGCTGCTTGCTGCACCAAGGACGCAGACGACTGTTTGACTGATTTGGGTCCAGCATATTCAATGCTGACGACCGTCAACAACCACAAGGCTGGATGGTGTGCAGTCTTTGAGGGTTTCGCAATTTTTGAGAGAGTTTGGTCCGATATGTGACTATGTGGAACACTTATTGCAATCGCTAAATAGGGGATCCTGTCATTTCTTGGGAAGAAGGGGCGTGGTGATATTCAAAGATCATCGTCACAGTGATAGACTTTGGAGCTGCAAACGTGGCGCAGACCTGGGCGGCTTCAGTGCTTGGCAAGACCAAGACTGTGCATGATGGATGTTCTTCCACCAGGGGCTGTGGTATGGTCAATGGTCACAAGAAAACAGACACCACACTTTTGTGGCCATTGGGTGTGGGAGCTTGCGTTGTGGGAGAAGCCAATGCATTTTGAAGCACTCCAACCCTAAGGCCGCTGCAGACTCAGTGGCTTCTGCAGTGGCGTTCCACCTGCTGCGTGCAGTTGAGAAGCGGATCTCGCAAAACATGATCCGGGCCAGCCATGCACATTACTGGGGGAGACTCAGAGCCAAAACCGCGGAGTGTCGCGGATGTGGAGGACAAGTCAGCGAATTCTCCGGTCGGCCTAGGCTGTTTGTTAAGGGCTATTTGGAACTTGCTTTCTTTTTCAGCTTGGCCCCAATTTTGAATGACACCCCCTACAGCAAACTTGGAAGCGACACATTGGATCTACCGTACCTGAAGTTGAAGCGATTTTGGACAAAGGGATGACGTCTTCGATTAAGGAGATGCCCAATGCTCAAAGACTGCAACCTGGAGGCCCTCCAGAAAGGCTCAAAGGAGCTGTGAGAAGGCAAGACGCGAGGTGAAAAGCGCCCGACAGATGACATTGGCCTTCTTCCACTGAGTGGGTCTAAATGAACGAGAACGAGCCCAGGGGTTTGTTTGACATTGGCACTGCACATGGACCATGGAAGATCATGGAAGAATCACGCGCGATGGGTTTTTATGGGCTTGACCTATCGCGGTCTCACAGTGAGACCATGAATTCTGTCAAGGCCTCACATAGCGTCATGCTGACATCAGGTATTTGCACTTGTTTCTCAAAACCTATCTCGACTATTTGGACATATATAAGTGTTTCCCCGTGTAGGCCAACAGATTGGCCCTGCCCCCCCAAAGAGAGCCGCGGTCGAGACGTCGAGGTACCTCATCTCTAAGGACCAACCAGGACCAACGGTCGGGTGTACCGAATGTCCCGAATTTTGCCCCGGCACAGTTCACACAAGTGCACGCCCACAGTTCGCCCCCCCCGATCTGTCGCTATACCGGCCGTGCGGTGTTCCGGCGAGGAAGGCATGGGGCAGGGGCCGACACGCCGGGAGGCTTTGAGGAAGAAGAGATCCGGGGGAGCGCTGGGTGTGTGTTTTTTGGGGGAGAGTAGCAGCGAAGGATATCATGCACATCCGGATGTCCAAGAGGTAGCAGCGAAGGAAAGCACCTAGCCCAGCAGAAGGGGAGTGTTGAGGAATTCAACCCAATCTTGGCCCAATCTTGGCATACAGGCAGACACTCAGGAGCCTCACTATAATACTTCATGCTTCACCTGCAATTTTCAGCCAAGGCATCCTACCTACCCGTCGCCACCCACGCCCCCCTAGTTGGCCCCCCTGAGTCGCCGGGTTTTCTTCGCCCCCCAGGTGGTGAGATCTCGCGGGGCACCTCTTGATCAGTGGGGTGCATTTGGAGAGTCTGACACCTTTGATTAGTGGGGTGCATGTGGAGTCTGAACCAAGCAATGTCTTTCTGTGCACGGTGCACAGTATAGAGGACCTTGTCACTTGTGTCATTTGTTGCGGTATTGGCGGTGCTAAGGCATCCTGAAGATGTTTGACGGTTTCACCTTCAATTACGTGTTCATACCCGTTACACTTTGCACTAGTGCCTCTGAATGAGACGTTTTTGTCAGAACTCAGTGAACTCAGATGTTGCCGTGAGGTGGGCAGAACGACTCCGCAGACGGAAGTTGAGAAACATGGGTAGACGTTAGTTGACTGAGTGCTTGCTGCTTCGACGTTCGTTGCTACCGTATCTTTCGGCTCAGAGGTGGTGTGTTGTTCATTTCACGAGTATAGTTGAAAATGAGGAAGGCACCACATCTACGTTAAGCGAACAGATCTGAGATCCAACCATCAACTGTCCTCAATATTCCCTAAGTAGCTCTTAAGCAGCATTCTTAATGGTAAGGCATGAGCCATAACCTCAACCAGCACGGATGTGTTTGGTGCCGTTCAATGGTGGCTGATGTGCAGCCCGAAGTAGCGGTGATCGCGAGTTAGTATCTTCCCAAAGACGCTCCCAAGATGTTAGGAGGCAGGGAGCACACGGCTCTGGAGTGCCGGGAGCACGGGGACAGGGGAAGCAAACCATAGCAGAAAAGTGACTGGACCACCCCGTGATGGGGGAGAGAACCCCTGTGACTTGTAATCTTGGATCGCCACTGATGAGAAATCAGGAAACTGCCCTGATGGTTGGGACCTGCAGAGTAACAATACGTTCCTTGCACACAAGAGTGGGGGAGCTAGACCATTCAATGCTTTGACTATGTTTGACTTATATGAATAGTTAACTATAATAGTTAACTTATGGCCACTTCAGAAGGCAAGAAACCAAAGAAACCGACCCATTGGCAGGGACAATCCCTGCAACTCCTCCCTTCTCCACGTTTGGGCATACCTGGTTGCAACACATGGCATCCAGGAATCCAAGACGTGAATGTCCAATCAGTTGCATTCAGCATTCATTAATGTATTCATGTTTTTTGGGTGGAACGTGGTCACATGGCAGGCCATGGCAGCTTCAACCTGCTTTAACTCCGAACGGACACATGTTGTTGTTGGGATTTGGCACTCCATTGTTCAATCGCTGTACGTCCACTAGTTACTAAATGTTACTACAACAATCTATATCAATCTATATCATGATCTTGAAGTTAAGTTGTTCCGAATTTCTGGTTTGTCAGCGCTGGGAGAGTGCCCAAGACTGCCCAGCCGAATGACGATGAACACGTGTGTTGGCGTACAGTTGAGGCGTGTTTTGGCACTTTTCAGACACAGAAAGTGACCACCAAAGGGCTAATCATTTCATGCCCGATCAATCAAACACGTACCATACAGAGAGAGAGGGGGAAATTTGAAATGATGCACAAGTTAAACTACCCCAGAGACAGAAGTTTGGACACATCACATGGAGATGATAAAATTATGTAAATGGCATCACAGGGTGTATGTCCTTCGGCCCTTTTAGCCGCTAGGATCAACCCTTTTAGCCGCTTTCAGCTCCCGCCCTCCGCAGCCCTGGCTCATCCCTTCCTCCCGCCGACCGTCGGGTTTCGTGGGCGGTTGAGCGGGCTGCTCGCGATGAGCAACCGATCGCCACAATGTGAGGAGCCCCGGATGTGGATCGTCACGGCATGTGTGTGCGAAACGTTCACAAGACTCCAGCAGCAGAAGGATTGCTTCTAAAGTATGCCTTCACCTGTTCCAAATATAGCAACAGCCACCTATAAACACCTGCCACATTGGGACTCCACTTCACCTGCTCCATCCTGTTCCAAGCACTTCCCTTGTTTGGCTTTTGAAAGTGACTTGGTGGGTCACGGGCCACGTGACACCGTGGCTGCTTTCTCGGTACGTCGTCGACACGTCGATCGGGAGATCAACACATCGAAGAAGTTGCAGATTGACGTGGGACCGGAGGTATTATATAATGGAAATTGATCAACATGGAAAGTTGATATTTTTGCCGACATCATTCAGCAGATCTGGAAGGTCTTCTCGACCCTGAGTCGACCGTTAAAACGCAGAGCACTTGAAAAACCATCGTATTCGTTCAGACATGGTTCGCGCAATAGATCAGCGCGGGAGCCACTCATGGATATAATTGGTGGTCATATATATATATATATTATATATATATATATGTCAGTCATACGTGAGTCATACTGTATGTCATACTGTCACGTAACCAGCCTGGTGGACCCAAGAGATCCAGTTGACCCGTCGTGACTGGTGTCGAACGCCAACGACGTACCACGATGGGTTCGATGTGGCCAGGTCCGCACTGCGGTTCCTTGGCGGAAGATGATGGGTTTCGGATGGCGCGATTTGCTGTATGCAAAAGGCCGATAGAGTATAGGTTAGTGAAGACCAAGTGACCAACAGACAATGCCGGAAATATAAGTGATAGAGGATTGAGATGATTTTGGCCCTTTTGACAGCTTGCACGTTGTGGATCTTAGAGCTTCTGGGTTGAAATGATGGGCCGCAGAGGTAAGACAATCAAGGCACAAGGCCCTGTGGTCAATGCCGCGAATCAGAACTCACAGCTCAAACAAACAAACCACGCAGACCCTGGCAGGGTCAGAGAGGTACTGAGGTAGATGTTTGTTGATTTACCGGCGACTTCGGGTCTGTCAAGAGACCTGTCCCATCCTTCATGTAGGCCAAAGGCATGGGGACATGGATGCGATTCAAGGGGTAAGAGTCAAACTAGCGGCAGTCAGAGTAGGATCAGGGCCCGGCTGAATGCCATAGGATGAGTATTTCATAGTATTACCACACGTCGTAAGAGCTCGTTGACTCCGTTGGTCCGGTGTTCATGTTTCCTGACATGATGACATGATTTCCGCTTCCTCCAGCTGTCTCCCACTCACGCCTTGGGCCTTCCACCACGGAAAAAAAACAAAAGAAAAACACCCGGATGGGCTGGTGGCGACGGCTCCACGGACGGATTCGCTCCGGTGCTCCGTCGACGCGCAGGGAATATCTACCTGGCAGATTCGGACTTCTGCAGGCGCGGACGCAGACGACGCAGCGCCTTCCGATGGCGCCGCGTTGCGCCGGTGGGAGGTCGAGACTGAAGATGGAGACGTTCTGAAAACCATGTGAGAGTCATTGAAGGCTTCATGAGTCTTCAATGATGTAGGAATGTATGATGAGTGAAATTTGCCTGAAGGTTGCTCGTGCCATTCGCCTGAATGCGGATGTTCGTGCTTTGCAGTTCTTTGTGAGGGAGGATGGTTCATCTCGCTTCCCAGATCATATGTTCCGCTTCGCTGTTAAGTGGCTTCCATAGGTCGCACCACGTGGGTCAGTCCTTGGATGTCCTTGGTCGCTTCCGTTCTTGTGAGGCACTGCGGGCAGAAGAGAGAGGACATGGATCCCTTTCGGCAATTCTGCTCCGAAGTGGTCTCCAACGTCTCCGAGACTGGGTTTAGGGTTGTCTCCCTTTCTGCGAGACTGGGTGGGGAGGCGTTGAAGATGCCTAAAAGAACGGTTTGAACATGCGCGCGGAGCTCCACATGATGACTGGCGCTGTAGGATGCATTCCAACTTGAACACACACTCTTCAGTGCAGCACGAACAACCATGGTGAAACTCTCTCTTCCCACTTGCATGGTATGGAAGGCAGACAGTTCTTAAGACAACCTTCTAACATGAGCGGAGTGGAGTGAGATCGTTTGGGGAGAAACATGCCTTTTTTGATAATCTTAGTTGAGCGTCCATGAAGTAACAGCCCCCTGCCATCTAAACAGGCACCAGAAAGGCGGCTACGTGATAGAGGATGCCCTTACTTGCTTGTGTTTGATTGTTGAAGTCTGTGCAAAGATGAGCATGACGTGTTTGCGCCGCAAGAAGCAGCTAAGAACATTTGGAACTCCCCTCCCGAAGAACAGGAGAGAGCCCGAGCCACAGCACATGTCACTTTAGCGCCCAGGAAAGTTTGTGCGTGCATTACGAGCAGCTTGGCTTTCGGGGGCACTCGTTGGGCGCCAGCTACTCAAAGATCCATGAAATGCTCAATAACCCTGGGGGGTGAACCCGGTGAGTAAGCTAAGTGGTGCGAACCACCA